AGCAAAGTGAGTTTATTACCTACTGTTGCTTCAGCAGAGTGCTGATACATATTGCAGCTCTCCCTACCCCGTTTCAGGTTGTGCTGTGCATGGGTGATAGGTGTTTCGGTTGTTGTTGTCACTAGTAAGTATATAAGGGATGGCGGCACCGTCCGGCATGTACCTTATTCCAGGCTTCGCTACCGGTCGTGGTGTCGTTGGGGAAGTGGTAAGTGGGTTTGGAGATAGGAGAGGCGGGTAATTTTAACTGTCAGGGGTGTGGTAATTTTGAGACCAAGGATAGCTCATCTGTTGGTTGTACGCAGTGTACAGCCCGCCGCCAGTATTTTCGTTACTTCTTGGGTCCTGTGTTACGGATCAAAATCGACGCTTTGTGTTATCATGCCCATTGTCCCTAACAGTCGGACTCTATGTTACGTTCGTGCGGTGATTTTATCCGGTCATTCCTCAGGTACGCACTTCCACCAACCAGTCAGGATCAAATGTGGTTGGTAGACGCTGCCCCTTTGGGGTTCCTATTAGTTTTATTCGCAGTTTTACTTTCATTATCACAACGGATGGGTTTATCCTGTTGGTTTTTGACCTCCGACAGCTGCTGTTTCCAAAGAAATCATCTCGTTTTGGCATGGAGAATTTCTTATTATTGGTATTCTTTGTGCCCCTTGTTGCTACGCGGTCTAAACTGGCATGGTGCTCGGTTAGATGACGGCGAGTTCAGGCCTGCAGATAGAGTGCGCCTGTTACTATGAGTAGGCAAATGAAGTATTTTTCATCCTTGAGTGATGTACGGACCAACGGAGTGCTGCACTGGTGTGAGTTCTGCACTTACCCCTGACTGTATTATCTAACTGGCATCATCCAATCCAGTTTTTCACACTTGGTGGCACCCGGTATAGGGCTTTTAGAGTCGGGCGTTTTACCAAGACGGTGCTGGACATTATCTTTAGAAGTGTCACTTATCACTCGCTCCATAGTGGATAAATTGTTGAGCAGACTGGCGTTTAACACTTCTCCACGGAAGTAGGGTTCCATTTTGAGCTATCTTGGTATGCCCAAACATATATTCGGATCAAGCACTGTTTCCCATCGAAACAAGTTGCCTGAGATCAAGAGATAATACAAACTTGTTTAAGATAGGGCATGCAAATTGTGGATCGGTCTTTTGAATCCTTTTACAATCACAAGTAACTTGTGATGTACTGCAGGCATCCAAGACCATAGCTTTAGCCTTTTTGGTGATGTACTCTCCGGGGCATTACAGATGAGGGCCTTTTGTAGTGACGCAACGTGTTGTGCCACTTTCAAGGTGATGACGCCGACTAGAGTTTTAGCCTTCCGTGCTTCTTCAGTGTCTTTATCTTTTTATGGACCGAAAATAAGTAACGTGTGCTAGCTTCTCCAGGGCAGTGCGGACTTTAGCTAGCGTTGTGTTCAGCTCGGTAATTTTAACTGCAACGGAACCTCCTAAGTTGTAAAGGTACGTGACAACATCAGTCATGCCCACAGAGGAGTTTGCAACCCTGCTCCGAGGGTTTCGAGACTGCGTTTCGAATAGATCTGTGAGGCATTCATTTTGCTTATCCAGGCCGTCTGTTCGGAATCTTTTGGCTTTGTTGCTTTCGATTATTATGTTAGTGTTTGGATACTGCGGGGTAAGTATCTCACCAGGGAATGTCTCTCCAGTAAAGCCACTAACTAAGGGTAGTCATAGGAATACATTTAACTAGTTTACTACACGGACAAGTAGATATCGGGAGCACTATCTAATAATTGATCCTCAGGAGGCCAAGGTTTTGATAGCACAGAGGAAAAGTGTTTTGTGATACAGCCAGGCGCTTGTGGTGTTAAAAAGTGCAAGATTAAAAGATAGGTGACGTTGAAGTTATAGCTAAACAGATCACCTGTCGATGTAAGGCAAGTTAGTAACTTAGCGCAATGTTCAGTGATGCAGTTGAACATATCCAGAGGGAGTGTATCTCAACGTTCATGGAACTCTTGAATTATACGTGGACGCACCGCATAGCGCAAACGGAGCCAATTGACTCTGTGTTGACGGCATTACTCTGCTGTTTTTGGCTGCACGCACCGATATGAAACGGAATCCAAAGGCTTGTGTCTTGTGGGCTCATCCGTACTCGCAAGTATGCGGGTCGCCAATCCAGTTTTTGTTTATGTGACAACGGAGCTTGGTTTGCTATGGCCGGAGTTAACACTGTGCATCACCACAAGTGTTATTTCGAATTCCTGAAGGGTGATCTATATTTCAGAAGCCTGGGTGATGGTAAGAAAGAAAATGTGCTTCCCTTGAGTCGACGCTCGGCCGAGTTGTAAGAAGCAATTGGGTATACAGAAAATGAATCTAAAAAGTATTTTGCTGGCAGTGATGTTCACAAACTATGAAGCCTAATGATTCCAGCCAAGTTGTGGTTAATAATATTGTGTTTAGGCATATCGTCTCTTTCAGTTGTCTTCACTAAGCTCAGTGGTTCCTGAGAATTGCGGGAGTACTATGAGCTGCTGTGTGGAAGGACGGATAGCGCCAGTTCCTCTCTGCATTTTGAGGTGTCGTTTCCCGAGAGATGCCATGTGGCCACGCAGCACATTTTGAACAGTGATCACACTTTTGCATCTCAAGTCACTATGTATGAAGGGAAACGTCAAGACCGCACTCTGGCTTTCACTAGAGTCACAGCTCTGGGAGAGTTCTAACCCCGCTTCCTGTATTCAAAAACGATTCATCCGTACCTTCAGCCCATGGTGACAATCTGAACTTTATTTTAATGTCGGCGGGGACGTTAAAAAGTATTACTTCTCCTCATCATCCTTATATTTCATAGATCATGTGTTATCTCAGTTCGTTTGCCCGACCACACCCTATTTGCACCCATCGTATAAAACGCCTTGACAACTATGTGTGTGACCAGATTGCGTGAAGTGCAGTGCATAAATACATCGCGTTTCTCGGATAATCTCCGTCATATTAGCGCATACATAAAACGGAGTTACGATCTACCACAGTGCCTATATTACTGAACCATTTAGGATCGTGACTGTTCAGCTGGCCAATTAACAGCATTTGGATATTGAAAATGTGTTGAAACTTTCCCATGTCACTTTGCCCTGAATTCATAAACGTCTTGGTGGTGGGGCCCAAGTTTAGCAAATAATGAGGCGTCGAAGAGGAGGAAAAGGTAAGAAGGGAAATGGTGGTGCCAGTAGAACAAGCTTTTCAGAATCCGCGACACAGAAAGTTTGAGTTGAAAAGTCGAGGACCAAGCCACAATTGTGATGCAACGAGTAGACAGGGGGGAGGTTACACGCTCAGGGAGGTATTTGGGTTACAGATATATTCTGGCCTGAAAAATACCAAATGTTGAGTGACGCATGACAACTTCATCACCCTTTCACTTATAACTTTTTTCCCTTCTTTTAACTGAATGCTTGCTTACTATCCCTACTGCCTGATTTCATTACCAAAATACCCTGTAAGCTGTTTGGTGGCTGGCCAAGTTAGTCAAAACCACTGAAAGTCTGAAGGGATGCCGTTATCGACCCGCTAAGTTAATTAAATTAATCGTGGGCATCTGGTAACTAACCAGCAGTCATACTTATTCTGCTGGGATGTTTCACTAAATGAACATGCAGCACTCATATCTTCTAGCGACAATAGATGTGGATTGATGTTACCCTGCATGAATATATGTAATCTACATAGAAACTTAGTCATACCCGCAAAAATGGTGTGTTCCGGCATGTTCAGGAATAAATATTATGATTATTGCCTAATGTGGTTTAGCTATCAAATATTTGGAAAAAATTAGCCTCTACTCCGTCTTCTGAAGAAAATGTGCTTCACGCTGGTAAAATACCATGATGTGAGGACAGACCCCTTGTGCCCAACAGGTGTTAGCACTGTAAGGAGGGTCTGAGTTGTTATCAATGAAGTGAGCCTATCACTCGGTGCTATATTCACTGAATTTATTGAAGCCTTCGATGCCGTCTCCTGCCTAAGTCTTACCAAGAGTGTGATGAGGTTTTATTTGGCGGGCAGTCTCCTAGGGCGTAGCGAACAGACAGAGAGAGAAAATGTCCTTCTATATCCGTGTTCTGTTGGATTTATACGCGAGGTTAGTCTTGGAAACCAAAATGAGTGATGAGCATGGCTTCGAGGCAGTCGGGGGAGATTCATGCAATTGTTCCACTGGTGACATACTCTGGTATGTTCTAGTCGATTCCAGTAACTAAACCATCACTTGTGGGCATAAACTTGAGGCAAATAACTTCAGGGTACCAGCTATCGAAGATCCCCGAACAATAAGAATATGTGTCAGACTGTGTGCAAAATGCGATCTGAAATACTGGTGCCAACGGAGAACTCAGTTTTAAAACATGAAGGTATGACATTTTAAAGGAGCCCATGGATAGGGAATAGAATAAGAAGACTTTCTTGGCTTTTCTGTAGAGGAGTTCTGCGTCTATCTGACCTGTATTAACAGTCGTATCTTAGGTTGAGAGTTGATCTTCTAGTGAAATGCTGTGCATTAAGATATGACTTAGAGTCCAGTACGTCTTACTCAATGCACCTTTTTAAAATAGCCACCTGCATATCTATCATCACTGTGTTTATGGAAGCGGCTAAGTAGAAAAAAGTTCTTAGATGTGTATCTAAAACAGGATCATGAACCTGTCAGACTCAGCTGAAGATAACTGTAGTTCGTGTTGACACTTCCGGAGTGGGATTAAACCTCAAGAGTGCTATCAGCAACAAGTTCCACTGTAGGGAATCAATCTTTCACCGTTGTCTGTGGAGACTGCTACTTTGTTATAAGTTATTCATTTGTTCAAAGCGCACAGTTTGAAAGATCCCTTAGTCATCTTTGGCTTGTCTTGGTGCCCGCGTAACTTACTGTAATTAGGCTGCTCTGTAGTCAGCAGACATCATTCAATTAGTTGTAACGTGCTCATCGAATTGTCTAAAGTACCAATATAAAAGATAGATAATGGAGGAAAATGATCAGTCACAAAATATCCCCTTGCTATGTCGCAAAGGATGTGGATTTTACGGCAGTCCAAATTTCGATGGATTTTGTTCTAAATGCCATCGCAGTATGCAGGTCCAAGCTGAAAGCGCACAGGCAGCATCACGTGTTACATCGGAATTCGAAGACAAACTGTCTCCTGAAAGGAGTATGAAAATAACAGGATCATCCGGTATGATTTTCAAGTGTCTTGGTGTGTTTTTCCAATTTCTATGACCTCATCTACCTATTTTCGAGCCTAAAGTTTGATGAAAGCCGGTAATGTCAGCCAAACTTGTTCTAGATGGGTAGTAGGGTAACTCAGGAAGCATTGGTTTGCCAGTTGAAGTCCTTAGCTCCCTATCGAAAAGACATGGGTCCTAACATTACTGCCTGACGAAGACTGTAGATAGTCAATAGTCTGATCTCAGTAATGATCTTGTCCCACTATTTGATACTTGTATTCCCCTGTTTGCAGGTACGGTTTGCCGTACGGTTTAAATGTTGGTTCATATGGATCCTTTATCTGTCCCTCTATCCAATGCTAGGCTACCTGATCGTTTCAAAGGTTCCTGTGCCATTTCTTCGGTTTGCATGGTTTTTCCAGAACCCATAGTAGACTTCTACACATTATGTGGATAGTTGGGTAGTGTTTGCGCAACCTAATCGACAACCGATACATATAATAGGAATTATACCATGGATTCCCGGTTGGAAAAACATTAAACAAAACATTCGGTAGAACTGTAGGAACTAACCTAAAATTTTGATTGCTTTTATGAGGTTATGAGCAATACATTTGGTCAAAAACGTCATCCAGTCGATGGGACTGTATCACGTAAATATGATCTAAGGATTATAATGAGGCATTCTGTTCGCTTTCTCCGAACCTGATTTATCTCACAGATGATGGTAATGTGGTCGTAGCTACATAACATTCTTTCTACAGAATATCATAAATTTGGAGAGTATTTGCAGTCTTGTTGTCATGCAAATGCCATATAGGTATGAAGATAAGCAAGAGAAACATTGGAGAAGAAACAATTTGTCAGGTGTATTTTGCGTGTGTTACCTCGGTGTAGTATATTAGAACAAATGACGAAATCAACAATTATTTTGTGTTATTCCTCAACGCCTCGATCTTGCTGGGTTAGAAGATCCTTCTCATAAGTATGAATCTGACACTACGCCGGGGTAACACAAATAAAGTGCATGTTATACGACCAATCATACTAACTCGGTGCCGAAGTTTTTTCAAACCATCCAGTCCATTGCTGATCAGAATGCGGTCAGAAAAAACAATTGTTTGAGATTGACAGAAAGTCCAAACTTTGAAACGTGAGAAGTTGGGCACATTGATTTGAATCATATAGCTACTAACTTCTCAAATTCCAGGAAATCTAGCCGTAAATGGTGCACTTTTGCACATGCTTCTGACCAACATCCCAATATCCCGAATGATAAAATGGAGGGTTTCGGCTTGACTCAGTATATTTCCGGAATGTTCATAAGCATTTCAGTGATTCAGACGTCCTACTGTCTTGATTTCGCGTTTCCAACAGCTGGATAATCGATGGTGACAGTTGAGATTGAATTTGCATCTAATGTTCAGTGATGGAAACGCTACTTTTAGCCAGTGAGCGACAAGTTCAGAACTGAATCTGTAAATCCGGTCTCGATTTATGACACATGCCTGTGAATTAAGTAACTAGAAAGAATAATCAGAGCGATTATTTATATGTACAAACAACTACTGAGTAGACGTTTTACATTCGTACGTTGAACCTCGCAAGTAATTTATCAGTTAATGTTGCCAAAGGTTGCCACTGCATATTCGGAAACGTTGAAGTGACGTTAAGTCGAACTAATGAGTTGTGAGATAAGGGAGAACAAGTAAATGAATAATGTTTCAAAATTTCTGGAATCCCTGGAGGTGAGGTCATCTGTGCGTTCTAAGAATTTGTTAAAATAGCAAAGATAATCCATCCATGGCTGCTTTACAGCAAGATCGTCTCAGTCAATTTTCATGACTCTGGTCAGTACTGAAAGTGGTGAGTAGGCTTACAGATCATAGATGTAAACCATCGAATTACGTAAGGTCGAATTTCGGAACTAGTTTGTCAGCCATTTTGATCACCGTTGTTAATGTGTGGCTGTTCACTATGCAGTGTTCGACCTGTCCGCAAAGCAGATCATGAAGTCATTGAAACGCTAATCACAAGAAGTATTTATTTTTGGATATTTGTACAATCATGGTCAAGTAGCTTGCCAAGCATACTAAAAAAGGGAGCAGTCGAAATATGCAGAAACATTTGAATTCGACAGTTAATGAGGCAATTATTTCTACTACATCTGTTTACTTTTTACGACGCAACAACTAAAACTACTTGTGAAATTGCCAGGTTATGCTTGAAAGGGAAATAGCGACAACCATAAAAATCTAAAACAGTATACTCATTGTAGTTTTCCTCCGTTAGCAAGGTCACATTACATTATTTTCTATGGGGTGTTGGGGAAGGTCGAAAAATGTTAGTAGGATAACATTGATATGGGCAGTTGACTCGGGCTATTGGTTCGAGTCCTGCTCTACTCACAGAGGTTTGAGAGTCTAGACAGTATGATTAGGCTTCAGTAGATGGGACTCATCACCATGTGCACGAACGTGCCTTTGACTGCTAGATTACATTTCCATTGTCAAGTCTTTTCCGCCCTACTCAAGTTATCAGTACATGACGGTCCCGGCCATCATATACCATGTTTTTGTCGTAGTTAGGTATGTTGTATTCCCAAATACAATACAGCTGTAAATCAGCATACTATTTGGGTACTTTTCGTAGGATTTCATCTACTATCATAGTGAATGAGTATGAAATGCATTAAGAAAAACAGGTATAGCTATCCTTTAGTATTTGCATTCATTCTCTGTAGTTGTACATTTGCATTTTCTTACATTGATTGTCAATTACAAAAGTTTTTTGAATAAACGTAGTGAAAAAAAGTGAGGCTCAGTGAAAACCAGTTTTTAATTACGAAATTTAGGTACAGTGGAACGTGAAAGTTCTTTACTTTACTCTTTTGTCAAAGGCTTCCTCACTACAAGCTAGTCAGAAATATGTCGTCTTCGCTCAATTTCCACGTAAACGAGTTGAAATGTAGAATCACCTACGGTTTTACCAGTGTTGATTAGGTGTTCAAATATCATGGACTCATTTGCTTTCATATAGACTGTGTTCTGCCGTCCTGGTAGAAACGGCGCCTACTAAGTGGACAAAATAGTTGACTTCATAAGAGCAGGTGATCTGACACGTTTTAGTGGTAAGGAATGGAAGCCTAATCTGTAGGTTAGATATTCAGAAACCAGAGATAAACCCTTAAGGCAGGCAGAGACGTAAATGAGGACTTTTTTCAGGACATTGTAATGGGAATGAGTTTATATCTGTGGTTTGTTTCCCATATTTATGTCCATATCGTATCAAATCCTCAATTCCAGTCAAGATTTTCTTGACCAGTATGAGCTGTTCTAGCTAGGTAAAACTTTAGATTTATGGGATACGTTGGTAAATAGGAATGACTAGATTTCTTCGTTTTTAAAATTTCTTGATTTTCACTTAGCTTCACCTTTCTCGTCATCTCCATTAAGGATTATCCATAACTTAACGGATATCGGAACATCAGATATTGTCTATACAGCTATAGAGAACAAAATCATGGAAAAGGTAGTTAAACTTCTTGTTTTCAGTGTGTACTGCTTTCAAATCAGTGCTACATACTTTACAGAGTTTAAAACAAGAATGCAGTTTACTGTTTTGTCATTAAATTTCGTAATTGAACTCATCTAAATCCTGTGTTATTTTGGATCATGTATGAACCGACTAATCGGCCAATGGATAAGTTATGAACTTTTTCTGTGAAAAAATTCCCTGTATTACCATATTTGTAATTTATCCCATAAAAATTTCTTGTTAGTTATTGAGGTGATTGCTCATGGGACCAGTAACATGGCATAAAATATCAATATAATGGAAAATCATTTCATTTTACAAAATGAGCACAATTTGTTAATACTAGAGATGAAAATCTGTACGTGGTGTTTTCATTTTCATCCTGTGACACACAGATAAAGTCACTGGCAAAAAATTGATTAGTAATTGTAACATTTTATTATCTAATCGCTATGCGACAATCATTTTACTTACATCTATCGCTGCACACGCACTTTTCCCTCACACACCTACAAGGACTGACTACTGAGAATATATAGACTTTCCGACATTTTGTTTTTGTTATTATTGGGTTTATTGTTATCGTCTGTTTCATATATCTGGGTTAATTTGACCATGTTAGTATCAAATGACTATGCTGAACAATGTAATGGTAAAGCCTGACGAGAATTTACCGAAAATACATATTCACCCACAAAAAATAGACATTGGTTGAAAAAATCTATACTTAAAGGAATTGTTTTCAGTTTAATTTTAACCAAGTGTGTAGTAAATCTTATGCACTTAGAACAAGTTCCGTTCCTTTGATCACTCGTTTTACGTTGAATACTTTCATATGATTATTTTTTAGTAGACAACTCCCCCAAACGTGAGTCAGCACTAGTACCTCCTGTGACTATCAAGATTTCTGCCGAATCCCATTCAGATTCTTCGCTCAATGTCAGCCGTGAAGCGAACTTTACTTCGTCAGCCCCTGAACTAAACGCAGAGAATGAGGTATCTGCTGTTGGGTTATCGGACTCCCTAAATGATGACTTGCGGTCAGATAGTAAGCCAGATTCACCCGGTAAGTCACATTCATCCGCACATATTCTTTTTATGTATTAGTAGTTATGCATTTCATTCGTGGGAGACGGCACTTGTGGCGCTAGTAGAAAAGGTGTCAGGAAGCATCTTGGTAGACTCACTTTGTGTGATTTTGTACACTGATCTACTGAAAAGTTGATTATTGTCCAATAACAGTTTAGTTGTGAAGTCATTGTTCATTGATTGAGGTAGTCCGGTTTCAATTGGTTAGAAGCAGGTTGTAACCCTAATCCCCTTTGACTTTTGGACAACTGGGTATTGCGATTAGTCTCCGCACAATTCATGATTGGCAACTGGAGCGTGATTCTGTACATCGTCTTTGTATTATTCATCTCTATTATGACTTCTTCCAATTCTTTTTAGACCCGGTGTCACGCTAGTTACCTAAGATAAAGGTTATCCACCAAATAATCTCCCTCGTAATGTTGGTCTATTGTGTTAATCTAAGAGCTTTAGTTGTGAAGTAACTGCCCAGGGGTACGCCTCTATCGTATCTATCCTCTCACAAATTGCAACAGAAATGCGACCGAAGGTGAATTGTTGGTCAACGATTTTCAATAAAGCAGGCAAACTAATCCACAAAGAAATTCGGGAGTAAATACTTTAATTCACTTTGCAGGAAAATAAAATCAAGTGTACAGTTTATATATCAACTAAGGCGGTGTGTATGGAAAAAGCAAGATTAGAGATTTTAAGTGATATAGTTCAAAGCTGGTCAGTGGCACAGATGCATTCATGGCTCAACATTGTTATCTTCATGCAAAATATCTTCACTTACTGTAACTTGTTTTCTGTGTCTTATGACCTGAAACTCACGATAATGTTAATTTGACTTCGTTTTTCCTCTTGTTGCCTCCTACCTTCCGTACTGATGTGGTATGTGACATGACACTTTATGTAGTAATGCTGTCTTATTTTGAAATCTTTTGAATGACAATCCATGGGCCGTGTAGATGTAGACTGGAAGTTTTCATAATGACCACAAGCGGTGTTGTACTTCACCGTTGTCTCTTCGTAATCTTTGCTTACGCGATTGGAAAGAAGTAAAAAGTGAGTTCTGCCGAAAACTGTCCAACCTACTGAAAGCCATACTGTTAGAGGTGGTTGTCGTAGCAGGTGATTTCAGTGTACAAGTAAACAGGTTAAGTCAGGTGGGAAGGCACTCTTGGAAACCCGACTGTGTTCAAACATTCACCTACTCCTAGCCAACATGATCTCAACGGTGGACAGATATAAACCGCATTGTTATCACTTGGATCAATCGGTGAAAAATATTTGCTTTTTCTGGAGGACATGTTTGGATAACAACAGCAATAAGTGACAATAGGCAGGTAGTTAGACTTTTCAAGGAAACGAGCGAATAGGTCAAAGGTTAGTGAAACCGTCGTAGAAAAGAATGTGCCTGCGATTCATTCACAGATCAGACGACTGCAGCGATGGGCGAAGCACTCCGATAAAATATTCAACTGGCCTCCAGTTACTACTTTGTTGCTCCATTATTCAGTCGGATCTCAATCAATCAATCAAATCATTATCAACATAGAACCAGGTATTACTGCGTAACGGTCCGAGTTGCCACACCTCACGTCAGTTCATCAAGTAGATAGGTAGTGAGATGAAGGATGAAGATAAGTGAATGCAGTCAAAAGAAATATAAAGTACGAGATGAAAGGAAAGAGGAGTGACAAAATAGTGAGATTCGGTATAGCGTTGTTAAGATGAGGATAATGTGTGTATACATCTGCGCCACTGACATCGGTTCTCAGCCACATCACCTAGTCTCCAACCACTGGTTCCTCTTGTCCCGCGGACCCCAACCACCTAGTCTGCATCGTCCTACATAGCTTAAACCAACAGTCAGAGACTTCATACATTGGTGCCATGTTTTAGTCTGGCCACCTCGAGCCTTTTTCCAGCCTGGACCCACCTCAGCCAACATTGTGTGACAAGGCAATCGGTGACTAGGCATACGTAGTACGTGTCCCAACCATCTCAGTCGATGAAGGTTCATAACCTCGTCAACTGACTTACCTCTTCTCCTTAAAAATCTACACCTGACTTCTGCATTACTCACATGGTGACACCACGGAATACGTCCCCTACTACGAAGGCAATGGTGGTCAAACACCTGAAGCCTTTTTATATCTTTCACTTTTAATGGCCATGTTTCACAGCCATACAATAGAACAGAGCGGACTGCTGTGCAGTCGGATCTCGAATGTAACATTGGCATAGTACCCCAAACTTAACGAAGTCGAGAAAGCTGTAAGTTATATGAAACGAGGCAGATCAACAGGGTTAGACGGACTAGTTGTTGAGATATTTAAAGAGAGTTGTAGGAGATTCCTGTTCAGGCTAACCGAAGTGTTAATTAATGTGTATGTCAGATGTGTTCCCTACTAACTGGTCTCAATCACTGAGTGTCCCAGTCTTCAAGAAAAGTGAGAAGTCCTCTTTTGATAACCACAGGGTATCAGCCTAACGAAAATAGTCTGTGATTATAGATTCTATAATTATCAGGCAGGTTTCAGACCCGGTCATGACTGTGTCAAGCAGATATTCACCATTCGTCAGAACATGAAACGCAGACACCAGCGTCCAACACTAGCTGTGTTTTTCGCAATCGATCAAGAAGTCTTATAACATTGGCGGTCACTGAACGGAATGTCAGGTAAGAATAACAGTCATTTGAAGGCTCCTTATTCGAACTCCTTTTGTCGTGTTAGAGCCTGCTGTGAGTTGTCTACATTGGGTTGTGTCCACTTAAGGCTTCCATTCTTATGTAAATTTGTCATGGTTATGCTCATGGAAGGTCTTTTTCCCGTTGGAATTCACGGGTAATAACGTTCTCACAGGAGACTCCTTTTTGGCCAGAAGTACACAGATAACTGTTTGGTGAAGCCTTTAACTGAAGACTTCCAGTCATCTTGAGTAACAGTGTTAAAACGTTCGGGGTGCTTTTCCCACTATACAAGTGCAAACGGTTTCTCTAGGACCGGTCTTCATTAGTGCGCTGTCTAACAGTAGGGAGCGAAGTAATTGAGCACACTGCTCGGTGAAAAACTCAGTACGGAAAAAAGGTCCGCATTAGTTTTTTCCAAATTGCGTCAGTTATGGCGCCACCATACTATCTGATAGCATTTTAGGTTCTAGTGTACTGCGTTACATTTGGCTCCGTTCCAATCTATGTTTGTAAAATATAGTCATTGAGAGTGAAGGGCATGAGAAGGCTTCAGATGTCCGGCCACCAATGCCTTAGCATAGACCGTGTGTCGTGATGTCACCACGTCAGTAACGTATAGTTGTAGGGAGAAGAGGAAAGTCAGTCGGTAAGGTTATGAACCTTCATTGACTTAGGTGGCTGGGATGTGTTCCGTACGTCTAGTGGTCGTCTATCCTGTCGGTTACTGTAAGCTAAAGTGGGTTCAAATCGAAAGAATGTTGGAAGCGACAAGACCAAAATATGATATCACTATATGAAGTCTTAAAATGTTGATCTAAACTGTGTTAGGGAAATTTAGACTTGGTTTGCTTCTGTGAGAAATCAGAAACCGGTGCTTAGAGGCTCTAGGTGATATGGCTCAGGGTCGATCTCGCTGCTGCAAATATATCCACACATCTTAATCTTCGTGCCGAATTTCAGCATTTTTTATTCTTTCTTTTCCACTTTTCACTGCTTTCTACCACTTTGAACTAATTTCTTCCAAAGTTTTCTGTCTTTCATCTCAGCATACTTTTTACCTTGATGTAGTATAAACCAGTAAGCACCAATACGAGGTTCCACGTTGCTCCTAACTGAGTCTAAAATCACTCAAAAGGTAAAGTAACCCTCTTTTAGTACCGCATAATTTAACCTGACCAGTGTGGTTTCCCAGGTCCTAGAGCCTATCAACGAATCAAAAAGCTCAATTGGCGGGTATCTTAATGCTTGTGTCATTCATGTCAAAGCAACATCTGTTCGTTCGTATTATTTTGACTGGAGTCGGATTAGGTTGACGATGGATCAGGGTTTATATGCAACAACTTGCCGTAACTAAAAGTTATGTACTGACGCCAAGGTAGGATCTGTTGGATACGCTGGACTAATGACTCTCCTTAAAGCGCAGATTTAGTGATCATCAAGAGTAATAAATTTATCGTGTTTTGACTCGCGTTGCTTTCTTTTATCAAATGAATGTAAGTTACATACATTGAATAGTGATATGATATGAGTGAACCTTATGCCTGATTCAGTGAACTGGTTACTGACAAACTCTTGGTACCTTTAAAAATCTTTTATTTGGATGTTAGGTGGTGTATTTCATAATGGTACTGGTGAGATATCCAATTCTGTATCAGACTTAATAGTCCTCTACTGTTTTCTGCAACTGTTACCCATTAAGGTGGAACACATGGGAAACTTGCAAGTATCTTATCGTACTAGTTTTCGAATGATAACCCACTCATGGTTAGTCACTGTATGAACGCATTTGAAGCCGGGCTTGGAGTTATGCGCAGTGATTGTAGGTCAGTGGATAAAGTTATGGGATCTATACTTAGATGGTTAGATCATGTGTCACACAAACCTGTCTATTATGTATTCTCATGTATCATTGTTTGTAACGCGTTCAAAATTAATGGGAGCTAAGGTTAGTCAGACTGAAGCAGTACCAATGCTTGAAGTCGTTAGTCGGAAATTCTAAACTCTTTGATTTGAACACATGTTTTCTCCTAGGTTTTTTGAACTTCAGAATCTCGTTATCTTATACCTGTTATTTTTCCTCCGCGAATATCCTTCTCTTTTGTCCTTCCAGTATCTAACGTTTTGTGGGTTGTTTAACAGTGTTGTAAGCTTCTATGGACACCTCTTGACATTCTACGTTAATCTAAGCTACTGCTTGCAGAAAGTAAGACAATAGAGACTGTTGACTAAGGTAAATTAAATCACCACCCATCTTGGTTTAGTATATTAGCCGAGGTAGAAAACAGATTTTACAAGGGTTGTTTTGTCGTTCTTGTGAAAGAATGAAGGTTTTCTTTCTGGGTTATGTCAGAAAGTCAGAATCTTAATGATGTCCCAAGTCAGTCACCGTGATGCAGTAGGTCTTATATGTTTAGATTGAGATATTCTTTGTGCTGAGGTTTTGGTTATTAACACAAAAGAATAACCCAGTCAGGCGTTCACATCCTACGCGAAGGATATTTTCTACCGTTTTCATTTAATACACTTTTACCGTATACCGTTGCTTTGAATCGAAAAAAGCAATAATCTTTGCCAGGTAACTAGAGTGAACAAAACGAATGATTTTTAATTGTCTCAACGTCTTGAATTACGTTTCATTTTCTTTATTACAGCATCGACGTGCTCCTCCGGACCCACTACAAAAACCAGACCACGCTGTGCTGTTTGTCATAAACGTGTGGGTTTGACAGGTAATGTTAAATATGAAATTTTAACTTCCTTGCTGTTATTTGACATTAGCGAATCATTTTTCATGTCTTTTCGCATCACTACAATGCTGTAGTTTCATACACTTAGTAAGTGTATATTGACATGCCAAAATCCGTAGTAACTTCCTTTCATTTGTTCTGTTTTCAGGTTTTAGTTGCCGCTGTGGTGGTCTTTACTGTAGTCTACATCGCTACTCTGATGCACACAACTGCTCTTTTGACTATCGAGAATCAGGTCAGGAAGAGATCCGTCGTTCTAATCCTCAAATAGTTGCCAAAAAGTGCAGAAAATATGATGTATCTAATTTCCTTCATTTATAAAAACTGATAATCAGAAATTTTGTTGAAATGAATGTTTTCCCTTAAACATGGCTCCATCTGTTGTATGGATAAAAAGTACATTTCACGTTGGTTTTGCAGTTTAATCTTCTGCTGTGCGTTTCATCATCAGAGTTTCTACCCACTGCACCACCATTTCATACTGTAGTATTTGTTAAATTTTCTTTCGAGAAAATATATTGCTGTTCATCAAGCAAATTCTGTTGACCATTCGTGTATGGATGAGTTCCGTTGTCATTTTCATCCAAAAATATGTTCACCAAGTGGTATTTACTGCAAATGTCCTGATTGGACTACATTGTACTCTGATGATCCTTCAAATTTTAAGTGTGATGTTCACAGGTTATTGAATTTAGTCAAAATTTTATTTTATCCCTTCATTCACTATTAACCGTGTATTTTAGGCTGTGGCATCCCCTAAGCAGCTAATAAATTAACTCATTTTGATATATTAGAAATTTGGATATCTATATGCCTCATGTATACGTGTTTATTACTGCATCCATTCGTGCTTTTGAACTTCAGTCCTTTCAGGTTCGTGGCAGCGTACATCTTTTCGTGACTTGCATGAATCCATCTATTAAATCATACCAGTATCTGTTTCTGCTGGTTTGTACACAAACTCCCCATCAGTTTTATTGTGCTCAACTCGGCTGTGTTATTTCATCCATTTTGTAGTATTGTGAAGGCCACCTTGAATGTCACTTTCGTGTTCAACATTTAACAGGTTTATCATTTTATCTCGGCTTTTTTGGATGATGTGGAGGACACTAAATCAACTGTGCTTGATTGCCAGTTTATTGATTATTACTACAAGTGTTATAAGCTCTACTAAAATTGTATGCTTTACATATTGGCTTCCATTCGTTTTCCTATCATTTCTTGTAATTTCCTTCTATCCTATTTAGCTAGCGTATTTGGTTTGAGTCTGCTCATTGCACAAATATATTTTCGTGTGCACATTTTCTTTTTTGGGGAAAACGCCTACATCAAATGATAATGTACTTCGCGAAATCGGTTACCAAAAATTGAATAGCGGTACATTAATACTGTTCGACCAAGTACATATCCATATTTCAGACTGTAAGCGACGATTGTTCGGGCTTAAGTAGGTGGAGTGGTGTTTGTACTCAAGGCCGATTGTTTGGAAATCGAGTTCTGAAGACAACGAGACACATCTCCGTAATGACTAGTTTTATTTTAGCTCCTCGCAGCTAAAAATTGTTGCCTGTGGCAACCTGTAGCAACCAGTTGCTCAGAACCACAGTTTCTGTTCTTCTGAAGTTGTATACCAAACACGGATATCACTTCAAATCCAGGGAAAATGGAAATCTATTCGGGCTCCGTCATGCCTTACACCAACATAAATTAAAATGTGATGGTTTAGTGGAAATAAGTAGAGTCGATAGTTAATCAACATGTTTCAAGTCCTTTTAGTGTATTCAATAACGTGTGCAGGATTTTCTAATAAGCATATCTTAGTTCGTGAGTCCAGTTGTTTCGTCGAATAAAATCCAACAATCTGTTTAGCATTGTCTCGTAATTGTCACTGCCCAAGTCATTTCTCTTATTTCCGTTATAAATTTATGGCCGGGGGAGGGCTGTGTTTCACATTTGTATTGATCATTTGTTGAATTGCGACTAAATTAGTATTATCGGAAATTGCTATCATTACTCGTGCCCAACAATGAAAAGGATAAGCTGAATTCGCTAGCTATAGTGTGAGGGTCGGTTGTATCGTCTATTTGCTGGGACCGAATTAGTAAAAAAACTAAGCATAGCTTAGTATGTACACCATTGTGGTCGTTTCCTAGCCATATTAACAAAAGTCTCCACTCATCGTCTTGAGGACTCAGGCCAGACAGCCTACACGGCATAGATCAACATCGATGGGTACCACCCGATGTCTTCTTCGTCTAACATCGTTCCTAGGCCAAGACATTCCTATAAGGTTAGGAACCTCATTGACTTACCTGCCTTTCTTGCCTAGCAGTAGGCCTAACTAATCTCGACACTGCACACACGTGCGAGCAGGCATCTGTAATCAAACACTTGTAGTCTCTACATATCTACTTTCATCCGTCATGTCTGATATCCGTGCAGTATACTCACCGTGTAATAAGTGGTCAGGTTTCTGACCAGTGCGATGAGTGGCGTAGATCTCTAAATACCAGAGAGAGGTTTTGAAACCAATCAATTAGAGTTGATACAAGTAAGTGAATTGTTTAATGCATGTTGCAATTTCACTTAGTATTGTTTAATTAGAAATTAATGCAGACCATTCTTAAATTATTTTACATTTGACTGGTGCGAAGCTTCTCGGATCTCTTCTCCTGATGTTGCTAAGATTGTATTTTGTCAGAGTCTATTTGGTAGGACTATGTTGCTTATACACTCAAACAAAGACTTTCTTGGGAGTGAGGTAATCGGTACGAACGCAGAGATATGTAGGTTTATATCCATCAGTGTATCGATAACAAAGTTCAAGAAGAATGGCGGTCACATTTGAAATAGCCCTCTCAAATTCAGCATGTCTACAACCCATTTTGGTTCGGATTGGGTGTTGGGCAAGTGAAGGGTAAATGTAGGCCAGTTGAACCACTCTCTAAGAGGCACTGCTCAGTGCTCCAGCTGTCATCAGTAGTTCACCCATTTTGCTGACTCACTATCATCGTGCCAATTTCCTGAATAAAACTAATTAACTCACGTATTACCCAATACTGATGCCTTCTTCGCTTTTCATCACCCACCACTGCTTGATGTCATACCGAAAACTTGGTTGATTTGCGTGTGAGCTGCTTCAGCTTCCTACCATGTTCGGGGTCAGCCTAAATGAATCTGTTTGCATTGTTCATTTTGGATGCGGTTGCAGAAATTCACCTACTTTTCCTAACGTTTAGGTGTGCTTTACTGGTTGTCTTAATCGTTGTTTCCACAGCAGATTGGATACTAGACCACTTTATCTCGGTGAAAACAGCTACTTTGTTCAGATAATCGTCTTGCTGTCTCTATACATACACAAGTAACTGTTTTCATCTTCCTGCCAAGCACAGACAGACATAATTGCTGTTGGCTTCTTGCTTCCACTAAAACGCAAACACGTCAGTTCTAAAGCGTGATTGAAGTTCAACCAGGCACTCCAGAAAGAGTGGTAATTATCCAACGATCGCTTACAGCCATCCTACCTGTTTCGAACGTTGACCTAATGTCGGCGGATATAAAGTTACTCAATATCTTCCCTTGTTTTTAGTTACTACTGGGCTAGAATAAGTTGTCATCAGAATAAAATCATGGGAGGCCGTCACCCTTGGCAATCTGTTGACAAGGGATACTGTAGATACTTCCGAGGTGCCTTTCCGACTGGTTCAGTGTCCTTACTTAGGCCTTGAGGTCACCGATAGTAAGACGATATCGGGACACTTCACCTCACAGAAAAATTGACAGCTTTTTCTAGAACTCGTCCTTTCCATCCTTCTGAACTGCAGTAGGTGGAAGAAGATTACTATCAAGTATCGGCGAGTGTCAGTTCTTTCAGATCCACTCGGTCGACTAGTGTCCAGCCGAGAAGTGTACTTCCTACTCTACGACTAAGTACTACACCAGTAAGTCTACTGAAAGAAGCAGTCGAATCTTCGAACAATCAAAATGGATTTTGCGTGCACAGTATACCGACTAGGTGAGCTCTAGTAAATAACGATACCTGGGTTGTTGATACGAGTTTCGGAAACAAAACAGATCTGTTGCATGAGATTTCAGAGTTCTAGTAAGTAAGGCCTGTTACCTACTTTGGTACAAGGTTCTGAAGTTGAGAGCTTCAATGTAAGATTGGAAGAATGATTGTAGAGTAGTATAAGTAATAATTTGGTGGCTTGGGAAGCTTGAGTTTTGACAGTTGTAAGGGTGGTTGACAATTCCCGCATGCACACACTGTGTAAGGCTGGTTATTCTTGAGGTACCTGGAAAAGAAGGGTTAGCGTGTGACCGCCGAGCCCAAGGGACATGTATATCAGACCGGCCATACATGGGCTATTTAGGAATTTGAGATCTTAGTTTGTTACTTTCGAATTCAACTATGAACCCATATCGCTGGCACCGATATTCTGAGGTAGAAGGGAGTGCTATTTTTAGGAACAACCCTTTTTGGCCCTCAGTTTTTTGTGTAGAGAAGGCAGCATCAGCGTGGCACTGGTGGTTGTCCAAAGAAAACATCTTACTGTTGTCACACCCCATACAACTAGCAGTATGAGTCCACCCTTCGACCCCCATCATAGCGTAGCACCTTATACCATAACGATAACTGCTTTTTATCTTTCCACTATGCAACAGACCTATCTGCTGTGGCAGAACCTCCAAGGAACAGGTGTTCCACTAGCAAAGCTCTCTGGATCGTTATAATACGAATCTTGGTCACCATGCCAAGGTAGCAGCTATCGGTGGCGGTGGGAGGGTTGCAGGGTGGAGGTTTGAGAAAGCTTAAAGGAGCGTAATGTCGATACTTGAAAATGAAGGTATGCAAGTAGATAGTTAACGCTTAGATTAGTTTTGTACACTGTTGCAGCTGGTTGATACTTCCCGGTTCTCTTCACCGTGTATGTCGTTTCTACAAGGTACGAGTATAAAGAAATATGTGAGTTTTGATACTACCGGATTCAGATAATGTGATGATATTTTAAATTTAGTTTTTTAAGCAACACGATGGCAGTAAATCAACAATGTAAGGTAAGCTAAAGTACTGATTAAGCAATAAGACTAAATTAATAGGATGTTAAATGTTTTGAGTAATATGATTTGGATGTGTCCTTATCAATGATATTTTTTGACGAGCTATCAGTCTGCTTTTTTCACTCTCAGTCTCACATTTAGAGCCTACAAACAAACACTTTAGCTTGCTGTATTCTCCGTGGGTCGGTACGGCGTACAGGTATCTATGTTCTCCAAAAACACACCACGCATCCAA